TGCCTCGGGCAGAATTTATTTCATGCGAGGAAAAGTAGTTGGACGTGTACCAAGCTTTTTCTGAGTCATTTCACCGATGATTCAGAGTCGAATAAAAGTCAAAGTCGACTCTGCGCTTTGTAAAAGTTTGCCTTTTGAAAAGAAGAGAAACGCGAGCCGTTTAATTGGTGCAAATGACATATCGTTCTTGCGACAGCCGAAGTAGGTGAAATTTTGTCCGATTTCTAATTCGTATGCAGAATAGCGAAGAAGATGAAATTTACTGTAGCAAATGTTCGGAACACAATTGTCTCGACATTATTATCTGACGCGTGTAATTTTGTAATTTTTACACGTGAGCTTAAACTTGGAAAAACTGCGGCGAGAAGCTGCTGAAAATACAGATCTAGCGTTTGAAGGAGGTTATGTAAATGTTAGGACACTTGAACGTTACCGTGCAAAATTCAAGGTTGGTGACTTTTCGTTGGAGATGAGCCAAAAGGGTGGCCAGATAATAATGTCGATGATAATGTTCTAAGAAAAATTATAGAAGAAAATCCACGGTGAAGAATATGAAATTTTGCCACATCATCCCTTATTCACTAGACCTTTCCACAACAGACTATCGTTGCTTCAAACGCCGGAACAATTTTTTTCACATACAAATTATTCCGAAATGAAGACACCACGAAAGCAGCATTCGAAGAATTTTTACAAATTTTGAATAATTAGAAACTAGTTAATCGTTGGGAGAAGAAGTTATTTTTATCTGAAGTTTAATTACAAAAAACGACATTTCATGTGCACCAACGTAATACAATACCTGCCAATTTAAAGGTGGAACAAACATTCGACTATCCTCTTCGATGCGTACACGCGGGACTAAAAACGACGACAGGAACGTTTAGTTACGCAATTCGGCGCAATTTTGACGGATCTGTTTGGAGGAGAAGCGTTGCCATGCTACGTGCTGAGGAACTTGAAAAATTGAATGTTATGAGATGCTGAAGAAAGGTATCGATCCGCGCGAATTAACGGAGCGTACGTGGCGCTGCACTCGAATGCCAGGATAATGAATGACACTGGAGTGCATTTGAGGCGAGGCTGCGTCAACATTTCCCGTGAAACTGCTTTATAGTAGCTTAGAAAGACAATGAAAAAAATGATGGATAATAAAATTAACGAAATCTTTTTCGTCCAACTCTCGTAAAAAAAAGAACGGCGAAGAAGTTTCAGGAACGTCCTCGACTCTGACATAATGTTACATTTATTGCACAAATGAAAACAAGCGGCGCTAAAATTGCCTGAATATTTATCTTCTAGAGGCAGAAGTTCGCCGTTTCTGCTTGATATACATTTTTTACAGCCTCGTTAATTAGCCGACAGAATACACGTCGAAAAGAAATAAAAAGGCGGTCCCTTAGATGACAACAGACGCACCGAACTAATTTCTCCGTGATCCAAACGTCCAATTAGGCGGTCTGAAAATTCTAATTTACGCTAGGAGATCCCGTTGACCTGCTAATCAAATTTATCGTTTTTCTCCTCAGTTACGCTCAGCTACTTATTTGGTGTGAAAGTTTAGGTAACTAGATTAGCTTCTTTCTTTTCCTCCAAGATTCACTTGCTAGTTAGCTCTATGTGCTCCGCAATGACATCAATTGGACACAGGTACGATTATGCGGTGAATTTTGATTTCATAATCATCGTGGTTCGTTAAAATACCCGTGGTTCGTTAGTCAGCCATTTATAGCGCGAAAACATCAATTGATCGGTATAATTAAACTTTATATTTTCGAAATGGTTTAATTAATCTCGTATTTCACTGTTCTTACTGAAACTGCAGTAGTTAGCGGTATCCCGTTTGATAAATAAAACGACGAGATATATTACTGATTTTACACCGTTTAAAACCAGCAGAATAATATAAAAGTCTTTTATACTTTTACACTTTTAACGCGAATTTATTGTTCGCAGGCTAATGGAATCGCTTCGTTCCTTAAATATCCCAAATGCTTTCGCTTCCTTCTATGTTAAGCATTACAGAATAACTAAGATATAGTTTTTGATGTAAGTTTCTTTTTATATAAACGATAAATGAGTATTACGGGTGCATTCGGGCCGAAAAGAACCTTTTGGAAAGAGAAGACGCATCCTTCGCGGCGTATTAATGGCGCTGTATCTGAGGAGACCTTCACCCACTTTACAGTAACGTTTTAAACGAGTAAATACGAAACACACCGGCTATCGAAATCTTTTAGTACTTCAAATTAATAAATGCTTTTATCCGGCGCAAAAACTCGGCAGACATAGTGTAGAAAAAATACGTTGAACAAACACGGTCACGCGAGAGAAACCATTCGTGTATTTGTACCGCGAGCGTGCAAATTCTAGACGGACTAATCAATTTTTAGTAATTACATATGTACATATGTCGTTTCTTTTTCAGGAAAAATTCGTCGATAAAGTATCACAGAAAATTAATCTACGGAGTGATGTCGCGGGGCTCGGTGGTTTTTTAATCGGTCACTCGAAAAATCCGCGTATCCGCTACGATTAAAAAAAAATACCGAGATCATAAAAATACTCTCAATCACCTTATTTGCATTGGAGAAACATTCTCGACAAATTACCATCGAGTAGGACGAGAGGTTATTTGTTCAACGTATCGAGAGAATTTATTGGCCGCGGCATTTAAGTCCTAAACGGATATCTGACGCTGCTCGGGGGAAGAAAAATGGCCGCAGATTTTCAGCGAGCAAGATCGATCGCCACGCTCTGAAACGATATTTGCTAATTACGAGCGAAGCGTGGCTGTCGAAGATAAGAAAAATTGTCTCACCGCCGTGCATCGAATAAAATTCTGATAAATTCACTCCTCCCGGTCATTATCGGGAAAAATGCAAAGCTACGAGAAGCCCTTTCGCTAACGCGAAAAATAAACCACTTCATCTACCGTTTCGAAATTTCCATATCGCAGTCGAAAATTTCTCTTAATTGATATTTCTTGATATACTTTTGCTTCCCGCTCGTCCACAATTTTAAAGTAATCTCCTTAATGAAACCTCCCCTCTTCCCCCTCGCAAAAGTTACGAGATTCTTGTGACAAATATTTGGAGTGCAAGCAATGTCCTGGCAGATAACCGGGACGATGTTGAATTTTCCGAAATGAATTGCCATAAATTACTCACCGTTCGCGTAATTTCCACTGACAACATCTTGTTATATTAGCAACGGCAGCTGTTTTATGTCGGAAACAGCACAACTGACATTGCGTAACGATAAACATTTAAAGGGATAATGAACTTTGGAAGAGGCATGCAAAGCTGTAACACAGTGAACGGCTCCCCGCCGCATTATACAATAGAAGGTGATTTTATTACTGAAACAGATAAAGTGGATTAAACGGGAATGTATTTCTATAAAACACTTTATGAATTTCGCACAACTGGGAAGTAACTGTTCAAATATTCTTCGTTAACTTTCAGTTCGTAATTTCACCTGATATATATGCATATATACAATATTATATATATATGGAAACGTGGAAAGTATGCTCTTATCGCTAAATTTTCCTTTTTCTTTAATGGATTTGAAATACGTAGCTTTCGGGATTTGGTTTAAGTTCAGAGAGAAATTGTAACAGATTATTGTGCGGAATTTTTTCACAAATATTACTAAAATAAACAAAACAAACTTTGATCATAACAATTCAATTTTCGTTATTACTGTAGTATTGCAAGGAATAACAATAAAAAATTAATAATTCGAAATTTACCCTCGGTATTCTTACTTTTTTGAAACATTATTCCTATCAAAATTTACCTCCGTCACTCTTACTCTCACTTAGAAGTGACTATTTTATGTCAAATGACCGTAGTAAATTTACTATAGTTATTCTAACTTTAAATAATATGAGAATGCAATTTTTTTTATCCTGGGAGAAATGGGGAGTGGGTAGGGTGAC